GACAGCCAGTCTACAGAGCAAGTTCTAGGACAGGGTCCAAAGCCACTAAGAAACCCTGTCTTGGAAAACAAAAACAAAAACAAAAAAACAACAATGAAGAATAACTGTCAACACCTTCTTAAGCAGTAGGGTATTGTGGAATCAGTTTTTGAAAAGGAGTGATAGATGTTTTACTTTCATCATTTTATTGTCAGTTGGTGTGTGTGTGTGTTTGTTTTTTAGTTTTTATTTTATTTCATGTGCATTGGTGTTTGGCCTGTATTGGGTCTCTTGGAACTGGAATTACAGACAGTGTGAGCTGCCATGTGGGTGCTGGGAATTGAATTCTGGTCCTCTGGACAAGTAGTCAGTGCTCTTAACCACTAAGCCATCTTTCCAGCTCTATGATTTTTTCTAAAGCTTTTATAAAAATTACACCAAACCCATCTTGCCCACTCCTTTTATGATCTTAATGTATCAAAAATGCCTTCTTATACTTTCTATTTTCTCTGGATTATCTTTTGACACAATTTTATTTGTAATTCATTTCTTGAGTTCTCTGGCATTTTGTGGTATTTCAAAAGAATATCTTATTTGGTAGAGTCAAGCATAAAATAACATCTTTGACATTTTTATTTAAGCAGTTTGATTCTCTGCCTTATTCTACTGGTTTTTGCTAATATGATCCGAAGTTTCAACTAAATTCTTATAATCAGATATTCTTAATGTTCCTTTGTAAGCATTTTAACAATTTTTATATTTGCCTTAAGTTTTAGAACCAAATTTCAAACTTTTATATTTAATGACTTGAGGGGACACGCTGTGTTTATAGCATAACTTTCCCCTCTTAAAGTCCTCATTTTTTTAATTTACTTTATAAATGGTTGGATGGCAAATACTGAATTATTTTCTGAGCTCTACACACTTGAGAATGCTTTGTGTGGGTTAGTGTGCATGAGAAGACTGTCCAGCTAGGTATAAAATTCTTGTGTTGAAAGTTTCCTCCCTGAAGACATTATAGCCATCACTAAGTAATCATCTGCCCATTTCTTTTTATTGTTGTTTTTCAATCTGTCTGTATATTTTTCTTACTGTGGCATTTCCTACGTATTTTACAAAGATATATCTGGGTGTTGGCCTGTTTTCCTTGCTTTTGAAAAAGAATGCATTGAACCCTTTGCTTCTGCACATGTGGTTCTGTCCTAGGCTCAGAAGTCCTACCCTTGATTCTTGTTTCCATTTTTCTTTGGACTCTGTTGAAGCCCAGTCACACGTCAACTCTCCTGTCTTGTATATCTCCTTATTCTCTCTAGTCTTCCCATCTTGAGCCTTTCCTTCTACATATGGAGAGTTTCTGCGTTCTGACTCACTTTCTACAGTTTCATTCTCCCTGCTGCTTCAGAAGTGAGTTTTAATGTGTTTCTGAGTTACTTCAGTTTTTATTTTCCCAATTCTTATGTACTCTGTGGCCTTTTCGTTGGGCCCTGTTTCCTCCCCAGTTTCAAAGAAGCTGTGTCCTTTTAGAAGTTCTTGGGCCCATTCTACCCATTGTAAGTGATTGCTTCTGAGCTGCTGTGGGAGAGGTTAGTAGATACGAGGGTTTATAGCCTCGTATCGCATATTTATGGTTTGGCCCTTTGCAGATCCCTGCACAGCCCTGATGGCTGGATTCCCCATGTCAGACAGGTGGAGCACTGTTCTCTTGTTATCTGGCCTTTAGTGGGGCTCATTTCTTGCTCTGTGGAGTTGGCATCTTCTCCTGTCGCCATGCCTTTTCTGATTCTTCGCATCCACTATTTAGGTAAAATACAAGTTCGGAGCATCAGTACAAATGGCTTGCAGTCCTGCCCTCCTGAAACTCCTGCTCCCTGCCCATGCTTCCTATCCATTTGTTTTCTGCTCATTGTCTTGCTGTCATCTCCTCCTCCTCTTCTTCCCCCTTCTCTTCCTCTTTTTTTTTTGTGATCTTTCTTTTCATCAGACAAAGAACTGTTTCTGGAGGTAAAACCCAGATAGGCTTTGCCTCATCCACCACCATCTGCCTTTAATTAATTGAGATTGCTCCCAGATTCCGGCATTGGGTCATCTATCAGTTTCATTCTTGGCCTTAGTGTGAATTTTCATTTTTTTTCACCGTCTTTATAGCTGTTTTGGAACAAAACAAGAGAGGCCCTGTGAGTGGCTGCCAAGTAGATACCATGTTGCAGGAGTCAGAGCTGGGCTTTCATCAGGGATTTGTCTTTATAGTTGTGTGTGATGGTAATGAAGGAAGCAAGTACAAGGCCATTTTCCTTACCCAGGGACCACTTGTCCAGCGACCTCAGCGATCTGGACCCAACGTGGAGTCCACAGACAGCCAGATAGCTCTTGATGTGTCCATGTTCTGAAGGTTATTCATTTTCTCCAGAGGAAACTGCTTCAGTCCGTTCCTCCCAGCCTGTGTACCTGTATTTCACACACCACTCTAATGGGTAAGGTGTGTTTTCCTGGCTCAGCCCTGAATTGGAAGGTGAAGGAGTAAGGGACATTTTGCAGAGGAGACTGGTGTCTTTTTCTGAGTTTGAGTTAACTACCTGTCTGGACTTTCTTCTGCTGAGCCAGGTGCTGGGTGCAGACACCATCTCTCACCTTCTGGAACTACCAGGAAGCATTCATAATCCAGACACGCAGGCTGCTTCTTCTGTGAAGGACATCAGAGCATGTTGTGGACAGATCTCAGACCTTAGTTGTATTTGAAACTCTGAGGTATTTCTACTTCAGGGCTGGTCCCAGGGACCAGGGGTTAGGCTCACAGGCTGCCTCAGTAAGACTTTCTGAACCTTAGATTATCTTTTGTACAGTGGATCATGCTATAGGTAGAGAGGAGTTCGTCAAGCCACAGAACAGTGCCAAGGCCGCCTGAGAGCTGGCTGTGCCACCATGGTGTGTGCAGCCTTTGAGAAATACTGAGATGGTTGGGCCCTGGCACTTAGATTGACAGCACCATGTTGTTAGGAAATGGTGGATGCTGCCCATCCTTGGATAATGTCTGTCCTGGGTGTACATTTAGCTCTAGAACTTTGACTATTCCTAGGGTCTGGGTAGTGATACTGAAGGTTTGAGCGTGGCTTGTTCCTGGGACTTGAATGTTTTCCTTCTACCCTGCAGGATGGGGCTTCCCTTGGGTGGGCCCAAGCTCAGCTTTTCCAGTATTTTAAGTTGGGCACCATGTCTCCCTCTTGCAAAACTGACACACCCAATAATGTCCTCTCTACCTGGGTTGTTGTATGGGTATGCCTTACTGAGCCTGTGTAAGACTCGAGGCATTATGATTTCTTCCTGTTTGGAAATGAGCGCACTCACTTGGGCCAACAACTTCACAAAAATTTACACAAAAGCTCCAAGTAGACTCTAAGCTGACCCTGCAGTGACGTCATTTGGCTCCACTTGCATTTCAGTTTACCTCCCTAAGTGAAGAGCGAAGGGCAGGAAACTGACCAAATCTGCATGCAAACACCAGGATGTATGTACAACCTGGGTTCCAAACCTACTTGCAAACACTAGAATGTAGGCACAACCTGGGTTCATCCACAGAGTGGCGGCTGCCAGTCTGACAGCATAGACACTTGGCACAGATGCTCCCAAATAGGAAGGACATCCATGATGAATGATGGTGTAGTGGACGTCTGTATTGGGGCTACACCCATTCCTGTCTTCACTTGGGGCATTGCTATACAGAGTGAAGTCCACACTCTCTGGAGAGCCTGGCCCTTGCACTCCAAAATCTTCCTACCCCAGCTGGCACTGTCCCTGGGCAAGGCCATTCTGAGGTGGGTCCAAAGGGACAGGCCACAGGGCAAGGAGGAAAAGAACATGATTTTCTTCTATTTCTTGAAACTGGTTCCTGGATTTTGGCCCCAACAGGCTGGCCCCCAATTGTGGAATTTGGGCCATGGCTCCCGATGGTAGGACACAGTTGCACTGGTTAAGGCAGGCATCAGTCAGGACATCTGGTGCCTTGAGAGAACTGTTTGCTGGGGTTAGAGGCAGGTTCTGTAGAGATGGCCACTGAATGTCCCCTGCAGATCTTAGCCACAGGCTGGTGGCAGATGGTAGTGGAGTACACCTATCCTCCTGTTTTGTGTTTCCATATGCATCATTCCTTTTTCCCATGTAGGTAGCTTTGAGCCTTTTTTTTTTAACTACCTAATGGGAATAGCATGGTTACATGAGAGACCAACTGTAAGACTTTTCAGGAGACGCAGCATGTACAGCTATGCAGGTTGGGCAGGTATCTGGTGGTTTCCCATCAGGCTATCATACAGATCTCATGAAGAGATTACATCACCTTGTTTCCAATAAGCAGCAATCACTGGCAGGAGAGCGAAAGGTTAGGCTGCATTTGGAGGTAGGGTCAACAAAGTCACTACAGGAGATATAAACTTTGCATCTACTGCTTGCCTGGATTTCTTAGAGCCAGGAACCCCCAAAGCTGTGGCCAGCAGGGATGGGCAGCAGGGCCAGCAGCCCTGCCTCTCAGCGGTATGGCCCATTAGGGCTAAACTCTTTTTGTGGGCATTTTATTTGCACACTTCACTGGAGTGGACACCAAAGAGGTTTTCAAATGTTTCATGGGCTGCTAATTTCCCCTGTGACCTCTTTTGTTGGGGCCTAACCCCAGCCAGAGGCTTCATGCCATGAAAGCCAGCGCCTGACACAGACCCCGGCAGCCTGGTGACAATGAGGCCTCTATTTGAATGAATCAGGTTCTAGTTGAATCTTATGGCAGAAGGAATTGGTGTGGCACTCTGAATCCCTGGGTAGCATTATACAGTGATCCCCAAGGCTCTCCTGGAGGCTGAAATAGTCCACCAGGCTGAAGGGAGAGGGGTGGCCTTTGTCCCACTGGTCTCTTTAGAAAGCCAGCCTGTCCTGAATGGGCCGCTTGGCCTGGCTCATGGGTATCTAGGGAGGTGGCCCACTCGGCCATCAGCCCATTCTTTAGTGGCCTAATGAGTTTCTGTCCATGTCCTCCTCTGCAGACTGTGACTCCTATTGCAAGGCCTCCAAAGGGAAGCTGAAGATGAACATGAAGAAATACTGCAGGAAAGACTATGGTGAGTATGGGCGGGGCTTCTCTGGGGTGGCTTGCAAATGACTCGTGTCACAGAATCCCTGGGATCCATGAAATCTCAGGCCCAAAAATGCCTTGTCTCTTGAGAAGCCACAGGACCCTTCCCAATTGCCCTGTACAAGTCCATCCAAACCAGTATGGGACATCGAGGTTGGGATCCCTAGCCTGGACTGGTAACTTTGCTCCAAAGGGCTGTCTGGCTACGGCTCACTCATCTGCTCTTCTGAACCGCCCTTTGTCTCAAGACTTGCTTGAGTGAAGTTCTCCAGCAGCAGAGTGGGTGAGAACTCTGGGTGTTTAGGGATTCCCTTGGGCTGTGTCAAGAAGAGGAGTTTGTGCTGTAAACTATTCTACCCCCATCCCCCAACGCTGAGGGCCCTGAGCAGTTCCTGAGGCTTTCAAAAGGAACCCATGCCACATGGGAGTCCACACCGGACCAGCTGCTTGAGCCAGACTTACGGTTTTCTCCCTAACCAGGCTAGTAGCCAGGGCTTCTCAGCATAGGAATTCATGATTAGGTACACAGGAATTTTGAGACCTTCTGAAACCTCATTTTACTGTGAGCATACATAGACACATGCCCCTCACATGAAGCTAGAAGCCAGACAGCTCCACTAGTCAGAGGCCATGTGGCTTTCCCCAGAACCAAGCAAGAACAACATGCAGGGTTTTGGTTCAGATTCACAAGTTGCCAGGCTGTGGGTATCCAGATTCAAGCCCCACCTTCTACCAGGGGTTCATGGCCAACTTCTCAAAGATGGGCAGCCCAGAGCACTGCAGAAGCTTGCAGTGCCCCCTGAGGAACAATCCCGGCTTTCCACGAGCTGGCTATCCTTGAGAATGAAAGGAAGCATTTGCCTCCTTCAAGCTGGGGTGGCGACTACAGGAGGATCTGACCTCTCAAGTCCAGCCCCATTTCTGCCAGAGACTGACAGAGGCAGGTCCTAGAGTCTGTGGGCCAAGAACCTATGGCTTTTGTACTCTCCTGAGCTTTGGCCTTGAAGCCTGATCACCTAGTCTGTGGGCCAAGAACCTATGGCTTTTGTACTCTCCTGAGCTTTGGCCATGAAGCCTGATCACTGCTCCTGGCAAAGCAGAAGGCTGGGTGCAGTCAGGAATGTGAGGGCTAACTTACCACTCCCACCCCATTGCCGGCACTGGGCCAGGAATAGGATAGGCCTACTTGAGGAAGACTGGGTGGGCTGGGGTGAGGTAGGGAGCTATCTCTGATCCACAGTGTCGATTCTGATCTTTAGACGGAAAGGGGGAAACACTAAAGTTACTGACATTGATCCCATGTTCCACCTGACTCTTTTGGACTTAGTTTTGCTCTCCTCATAATATTCCAGGGTCACCCTGGCCTGTGATAATGCCCTCGCCAGGTTAGTGGTGACTTTCCTTCATGGATTTAAGACTGGGGCTTTCCTGACTCCACATGCAGTGGGTGTTCCCGGAGCTAGCAGGAGGCATTCTTCTTGGTTAGGGAAGGGTTGGGTATGGCCTCTCTTTTCTGGTACATTGTCTCAGGGCTGACAAGGCCTGAATGTGCTGTGCCCCTAGCGTCACTTTCTGGCTCTGCTTTTCTCCTTCCCCAACAGCTCAGAGAGGTTCTGAGTTAGTCTGTTTTCTGTTTCCCTAACAAAATATCTGAGGTATATTTTTGCCTCATGGTTCATAATGTCTAAGAGCTTGGCACCTGCGGCCACTTGGCTTTTAGTGATACAAGTGCTGTGTCAAGCCATGGAAGAGACAAGGGGACTCAGGGAGCCAGGTGTCTTACATAACCTGTTCTTACAATCCTAACTACCTTTCATGGGGACCTTCATGAGCATGGACCCAGCATAACCCCCCCACCCCCAAGTGCCTTCCCACCTCTCAGCACTCTTATGCTAGGGTGTTACAATCCATCAAGGTTCTGGTAGAGACATACTTTGTTCTAAGCACTGCAGCGGTTTCTGGTGCCAGGGCTGCCCTTATGCAATAAGGTCATTTGAAATAAGGGTAGTCTCCTCCGTGCAGGCCAGTGTCTACCATGGGGTCACATAAGTTCCACAGAGGGCTCAGAAGAACCATGCACCAAGGGATATGGATGGCCTCGGGAGCCTGGTTTGAGAAGATAGGGCTTAGGCAGGGTTGTGGGCCGGTGAGTACTGCAGGGGGTAAGGCCTCTCATTGGAATTGCTGGGCTATGAGAATTTTCCATGTATCCTTGATTGACCCGAGAAGTGTGTCGAGGTAGCTCTTCTTTATTCGGAAGATCTGGCCAGCTCAGGGAGAATATGGACTGGAGGAGGACAGGAGAGAACCTGCCTAGATACAGAGGAGGTGAGGCCAGGCCAAGGGAGCTGGCTCAGAGGCTGCCTAATCCCTGCTAGTTTGCTGACTGACACTCCGGCAGGGGGCCAATTAGGAAACAGGTTTCCTTCATATCCAGGGCACTTGGATGTTCCAGAAGCTGCTAATTAGAATCTGGGTTTTGCCACCCCTGCTGAGAGAAGAGCCCCTTTCTCCTCCAGCCCCACCAAGTGAGGCTTGACCTGGGACAGCTAGAGACAGCTCTTACAGGCTCCACCTTTCCTGGGTGGTAGCCAGTGGGCAGAAATCTACAGCCTGAGGAGGCCTATGGGAAGAGACTGGCTGGGCAGCCCAAGGTATGTCAGACCAAGCTTGGGTGTGTGGATACTAGGCAAGGCAAGAAAAACCAGGATCAGGGAGAGCCTCATGACAGGGCCTCAGCAGGCTGCTGGTCCCAGTCTGGAGAGGGCCCGACCCCCGGCCCCCACCATGGAGAAGATGGTTCATTCCTTTCCCAGTCTGGGCTTCTGTTTCCTCGGATCAAGGGGACATGATATCCAAGTGCTAGTCACCATGTCTAAGGGGGCTGTTAGCCCATGTAGATCAGGTTATCCATCACCTGTCCCCACCTCTGCTGAGGCACCTCAGTCCTCTGTTGCCCTCTAGGGGAATTGGCTTACCTTACAGATGCTCAAAAGCCAGCGCCAAGCCAAGTGTAGAGCCCCTGTCACGAAGACAGCTTTTATTCTTTGCAAGTCTCAAAACCTCACTCTAGAAGGACCTTTTTGTTGTGGGATGATGGTGTGTGTGTGTACACATGTGTTTCCCCTCACCACCACAACGGCATCCCTCTGCCAGCCCAGACATAGAGGGAGCAAATCTGTCAGGAGCTGCCTACCCTGAGACTCCTTCACTTGGAGTCCCATTGCTCTAGAGGCCTCTGGCCCGCTTGACCCTGGCTGTGGCCCTCCACTTCCTGGGTGTCTCTTTGCTCCGGTTCCTCTGACTTCAGCCACACCTTTACCTTTACCTTTACAGTGACCCCCACTACGTTGAGCTACTTCTCATGACACCACCAACCTGCAACACAACACACACATGTGGTGGCCCTGTCATAGGGACCTAGGGAGTCCTAATACTTTGTCCCATTCCCACCCTCAAGATATTCCCTCTACACACATTCACTGAGAGCTCTAGGCCCTGCAGATCTGCATGGCACATGGTTTGGCCCTCAGGGAGTATAGACTTGGAAGAGACATACCCGATGAGAGCCCCAGAAGAAGCCTGAGTGGGGGTGTCCAGGGCCTGGCTTGGCTTTATGGAGGAGGAAGTCTGAATAGCCTGGACCCACAAAGCAGGATCCCTAGTAGTGGGGAAAGTGCCTGTGCCCAGAAGCTGGAAACTGGCTGGTAGGGGCAGAGGATGAGGAGGGCAGGGACGGGTGGGTGTGTTGGGGGGGGGGGGGCATCAGAATTGGCCTGCTGGGCTGCTTAAATCTGTGTTCGGAAACCACTGTGACCCCACTGAGGGTGACGCCTGTCCCCTAGCAGCTTCCCAGGGAGCCCAAGTGTCCTCTTCCTTCTCCCTGGGATGCACATCAGCTCTTCTTGTGAAAGGTGAGATCATCTTCCTCTTGCCAATTCTTGGAAAAGTGCTTCATTCCCAGAAATGTTTATTAGTCACCCCCTTGTTGAAAGACGTTTTGGCACTCCCAGATGGAAAACTGAAGATGCTTTCACACGAGCTTCAAGTGTTCCACCTGACAGCCTATGCCGTGGTTTCAGAGGATGCAGCTTGAGGGGAAGTGCTGTGGGCAGGCATCCCTTGGCCCTGTGTGGCATTTGTGCTGTGGCCCAGGTGGCCTGAGCCAAGGGAGACCTCTGGTGTATCTCAGCATGACTTTGTGCCTAGGAACCTTTGGAGTCAGTGAAAATGTAGTAGGGTGAGGATAGCTGAGCCAGGACTGGGCTTCCCCCCCCACCCCCGCTGGCCCTTGGGAATACCTGCTAGCCCTGCCTCACCCTTATCCTAGTGCTCTTCAGTCACTTGGGAGGAATTCTTACTCTTGTGGTTCACCAAGTCCTAGTGAGGTAAAATAGCAAGCCCTATATTGGGTGCTCTGGGAGCCCAGGCCTGAGCTTTCTCCTTCCCCATGCTGGTGATTTAGCCTTTGGCAGCCTAGAGGAGACATAACAGCTCTTAGAAGGCTCACGAGTTCATATCCTAGTGGAACACTGACTCTCAGCTCAGAAGCTGCAGGAACATCTTGATGGGCAAGGAAGAAGGTGTCCTTCCCACGGTGGGGAGCCCCTGAGCTGATGGGCAGAGATGACAACATAGGGAGGGATGGCAGAGATGGAGGAAGGCCATGAGGAGATGGATTTGTGGTGGTGAGCAGGGAAGAGGCAGATGTGGGAGTGAGTGGATTACAGGGTGCTGAAATGGAGAAGAGGGTTGTCGTGGTGGAAGTTTGGCTTTGAACAACAGGGCCCAGTGCTAGCCCAGCTCTTGTCTCTTGGATCAGACTGGAAATAAGGGATTGGGGTCTCCTACCTGCGGACATGGAGTTTTGCCATCTCATGAGCATTCCCTGTCCTTCTCAGTGACTCTGGGATCAAGTGTTTCTCAGCAGCCATGTCATGGAGATGAGCTTACTGCATCTATGCCAGTGACACTGGGTATGGGCAC